ATATATATATATATATATATATATATATATATATATATATATATATATATATATATATATATATATATATATATATATATATATATATATATATATATATATATATATATATATATATATATATATATATATATATATATATATATATATATATATATATATATATATATATATATATATATATATATACATATATATATATATATATATATATATATATATATATATATATATATATATATATATATATATATATATATATATATATATAGATATATATATATATATATATCTCTCTCTCTCTCTCTCTCTCTCTCTCTCTCTCTCTCTATATATGTATATATATATATATATATATATATATATATATATATATATATATATATATAAAGAGAGAGAGAGAAAGAGAGAGAGAGAGAGAGAGAGAGTCTTGTTCATTTTTTCCCCAATTTCAGTTTAATGGAGAGAAGACTTTTTCTATCACACCTCTAAACATAATAGTTTTAATAACTGATTTATTTTATCTTTGCCATGATGACAGTAAATAATATTTGACTAGATATTTTTCAAGACACTTCTATACAGCTTAAAGTGACATTTAAAGGCTTAACCAGGTTAATTAGGTTAACTAGGCAGGTTAGGGTAATTAGGCAATTTATTTTATAACCATGGGTTTCTCTGCTGACTATCGAGAAAATATATAGCTTAAAAGGGCTAATAATTTTGACCTTAAATTTTTGTTTTGTTTTGTTTTTTTTTAAATGTAAAACTGCTTTTATTCCAGCCGAAATAAAACAAATAAAACTTACCAGAAGAAAAAAAATATTATCAGACATAACGTGAACATTTCCTTGTTTTGTTAAACATCATTTGAGAAATATATATATATATATATAAAAAGAAAAATTCCAAGGGAGGCTAATAATTCTGACTTCAACTGTATATATATCACAAAAATAGCAGTATATAAACACTGGTAGGAGGCGTGCATAGGCCGGGTGCATTAGTAGCCATGACATACAGCCATATTGCACTGCTACTGCTGCAAAAGTTCAACGGAATAATAGTGTATATAAAAAAGAAAAATCAAACACCAGTCTAAAAATCCTTTTGTATAAGGGACAACTTTCTTCTGCCATTCATTCACATCTGCAGCTGATGTCAGAACAGCAGAAACCGTTGCTAATTCACCAACATCACTTAATGTCACTGTAGAGCTGGTATTTGAAAGATTCTCTAGCGTAATGTCTAACGTGACGACAAAACGGGTGATTTTGCTGACATTAAGATTATAAGGATGAACAACATGAAATGTTTTTTTCTTTAAGTGCTTATGCGGCCTCTGTCGCCATCTTGTGGTAAAATGTCAACCATTTTTGCTCTGCTTAGTATGACTGATGTCGACGCGCTGTATCTATTACAACTACAATTATTTAAAATATGCACTATCCTCAAATAAACTGCATAGTTCTAATCTAAACAACTACATTCTTGCTTAAAAAATCCTCAAGTACGTTATGTTGTCGAGCAGCTGCAATATTTGTCAAACTGCAGTGAGTTTATTGATCTGCCGTCACTCCATGTGGGTGAAGGAATATACAATGGTGAGGAGGCTGTACGAGTGCCGTTATTGTGGACTATTATAGAGCTACCAGCCAATCAGATTTGAGAACAGACAGAACTGTTGTTTGTATATGATTCAAGTAAACATAGAACTGGATTAAGCCTATACAACAAATCACAAAAATATATTTTGACTATATAATGATGTTGATAAATCTATTTCTAATGTTCATTTAAAGTGAAAATACATCCATTTATTATTGAATGTATGTTGATGTTAAGATGAAGATGCTAGCAATGGGTTATTTAATATGATGGCCACTTTTAGTGTATTGTCTGATATGGGTCTCATCTAAAAGTCAAGTAAACAGCAGAAATTCCCAATTGCTTATTTTAGTTTGTAGTATAAACAGCACGGGGAGTCAACAAATCTTCTCAAACACATTTGACATTTACTGTAAGGAGATGATGATGGTGAAATACTTGGTGTTTTTATCTAAAAGCATACACACAAATCAAGACGACGAGGTGAATGTTGATAATACAAAACCAATTTCCATAGCATTACGCAGCGTTGTGTCGGATTTGTCATTTTGATTTCTCTATTTTGACAAAATAAAGGCTTGTTTTAATCCATTTTCAAGCTCCAGTAATAATGTAGATCTATATAGTCCAATTAATTGTACATCTGAACGTGTTTGTTTTTATCATGTCTCCGAAAAACACACAAATGTCCTCCAATGCTTTCATTTCTCCTCATTTTCAGCTAATGTCCACATCAAGGACTTTCTGTACAACTGGCTATTCAATTTGGACATCATTCCCTCTTTGTTGCGAGTTCGTGATCGGACTGCAAACGCCTCCTCATAATGGGGGCTGTGTGGTACGAGGTGTCTTGGTTGGTCGGGCCCATCCAAACGACAATCTGCATACTCCCTCGGAGAGTGAATCCAAGCATCAAATAAGCTCCATTTACACAGCTGACTGCCCA